CACCCGCTCATTGGGGGCCCATCAAATAACCCGACTAAACCAGGCGAGGTGAGCGAGCGCGCCCCGCGCCCGCGCTCAGCGCTGCCCGCTGCGGTGTGGTGTGGAGGGGACTCACTCATTGCAACCCCCTCCCCGCCGGGCCCCGGGCCCCATCAAGAGGGCACGCAGGCACGCAGGTACGCAGGCTCCCGAGTACGGACCACTCCAAACCCGGTGGGGACGGGGGTACTGATGGGTCACCACCGGGCCGGAGGGGATATTCGGACACCGACTTTCTCGCTCTCGCTGTCTCCTCTCACCAACTCTTCCTCTCTCTCCTGCTACCTCTGTTGTGGGCCGCCTCACCCGGAGCTACAACTGGGGCCAGCCCAGCGTGCAACGCTCACTGTCCATTTGCGTCGCCACCCTACTTTTCCTCTCCCTCTCCCCTGTCCCGGTGTATTACGAGGGGGTATTCACCACTCTCCAAAATCGTGGCCCGGCTACTCCATATTTCCGTTATTACTTCTATTACCCTTTCTATTACCTCTTTTACCCTTTCTATTACATGTATCACACAACCCTTATGCACCTATTACACGACCATTAGAAGAGAAAAATGTTGGCATCACCATTGAATTTTGACGCCAGATTATTGTGTATGATCAATTTCAGTACAGTCATTGTCCCTAAATTCGAACGGTTTTTGAGGAAAAACGCCTCTGACATCTAGAATTTTTGAAATATGAAAAATCGCTGGGGATTCTAGTATCCTCACGTCGAGACGCATCTACCACCCTCCGGAAATATTTTTTCGCGCTAACGGTATAGGGGTGAGGGCTGTTTGAATCGTGTCCGTATTTAGGAACCATTGCGTCCTAAATTCGCCCAAAAATCACTCATTCTCCATTAAAAAAAATTTTAAAACCAAAAACCTAATTTTGGCGAGTATTACCTAGGTACCCCCGACTACTATTACCTGAGTGGATACCCCCTCGGTGTATTACCACACGTCAATAAGTGCACGGAGAGAGTGACAGCGCGCGAGTGACGGAGAGAAAGTGGTTGGGGGACAGAGACCTGCGTTACGGAGACCTGGGTTATATGGAGCTACGGCGGTCAGCTGGTGCAACCGCAACACTAAATAGCCTCCGTGTGAACGATACACGCACACACGTCACCGGCCGGTGCGTGTGTGGCGGGCGTTCTATAGGTGTTCCAGGAGGTATCGCAGAGGACGACCGTCGTATATAGCATGAGAAGAAGGAGAAGCAGGGCTTCGCGGGGCGGGCGGAGTCTTGGGCAAACTGCCGGAGAGAAAACAAACGGCGGAAGGAAACCGAAACACACACACACACGCACACACTAGGGGGAGTTATGTGTGCTGGGGGACAGATACGGCGGCTCAAATCCCGCGGCGCCCAAGAGCCCGAGAGCAGGCTCTTTCGTTTTAAACACAACCACACACACGCCCTCAAGTTTAACACACACACACACACACACACACACATGTGCGCGTGCTCTCGCGCCGGGCCATTAATGTTGCACGTCCAGCGGCCATAAGGCCCCGTATTGCCTGTGCCATTCATTAGCGAGAGACCGCAGGCCCGCGGCCGCGCGCCACGCCACGCCACGCTACGCCGCGCCACGCTACGCCACGCCACGCCACGTCAGCATGCAAGGGCCCGGTGCCCTGCACCGGCTGCTCAGCCCGTAATAACGACAACAACAATGCACCCGCGCCCGCGTTTGCTGCGGCGAGTAGCGCTACGGCGATGTTGCAGGCCGCCGCAGCCGGTCACCTTGTAAAAGCGTTATCACCAGCCCCCTCTCTGCTTTGAAAGCGGCGGCGCCGCCTATTATCAACGGGGCGAGCACCACCGTGTTCAGGTATGCGGGGCACGGGCCGGTTGAGGGCCCGGCTGCGCGTCGAGCAGCACGCTGCCTCGAAGGGCACCTGCCTGCTGCAGGCTAGCGAGTGGGCCAACACGACCGCCAGACAACGCGCCTACACACACGCTGTGTGGTCGACAGGCATGCGCGCTTTATGATTCCGTTCGTCGTCACCCGTCAGCCGCGTGCAGTTGTTTCGGGTGGAAGGCGACCTGCAGCAGGGATAGGCGTGGTGCTCTCGCCTACCCGGAGCGCCTGCAGGTTTGTGGGTTAGGCAACGCGGCCCACAGGGTACTCGGGCCCGCTGCCTACCCGGAGCGCCTTATCAGCGTCACCACGCTGATACTCGCGGTCCCGCCCCGCCTCGGCCGGGCACGCGCCTCGGCCAGGCACGCGCGCCGACGCCCGGCGCAGCACAGGGGCAACGCCTGAGATAGTTACGCGTGCCGATTGAGCGCACCACTCATAAGATATTGAGATATGATGCTGGAGCGGGTCTCACCCGCTGCCGAAGGCAGGCAGTCTAGTTTTACACCTCAAACCGTTCGGTTCGGACCA